GGAAGGAAGGAAGGAAGGAAGGAAGGAAGGAAGGAAGGAAGGAAGGAGAGAGAAAGAGAGAGGGAAAGAGAGAAAGAAAGGAGAAAGAAAGAAAAAAAACTTTTGTTCTGAGGTCATATAGAATTAAGGTCAGTGGAAAAAGTCTGTCCATTGTGGGAAAATATGAAAGAAGTCCCTGGGATATTGGAGAACAGGCCTTAAAATGCAGTTTCACTGCTTTGCTCCAAATCTGAATCGTGAAAGGAAACTCACAGTTCACCACCACCACCAAAGAAATCAGCAACCTCAGATATGCATCCTTCTAATTTCCACGTTAAGGAAACCTGATGATAACTTGGAGAGGCAGCAGTAAGCCCCTCCCCCAGCACCTTGAATTCTTGGTGGGGGGAGACACTGACTGCTAATTAAGCTTTGGTTTTGTATCTGTAAACACCACTTCTGCCTTATGTAAATAAGATATTTACACCACTTACTTAATGATTATGCAGATAAATAATTTAGAGCCGAGAGACAGAGTCAAACCATTCCTAAGGTTTTTGCCAGTTCACAGACCCCAGCTGAAGACAATGAGTAACAATTTTATTAACTTGGAATCAAAGTGTTGCTTCTGTTGAGAGTGACCCAAGGGATTTAATTGTAAGTGAAGGGGATGTATACTTGCCTGAAATGCAGAAAGAATTTTGAGCTTAGGTTGCCTAATTTTGAAAGTTTTTTTTTTCCCCTCCTCATTGCTAGATTGTTAAATCACCACGGAGGAGAAACTGCTTTGTTTAAATAGCTTTTCTGTTCCAAGAACCAGAGTATTACAACAAACTCCTCGGGTGACAGAGCAAATTGTGCCATAGGTGAAATTACTCAGAGAAAATTTCCAATATTACATCTCCTTCCAGACGTGCCGCAGGCAAGTGAAATCCGCCTAGCAGCTTCTTGCCACAAAGCAGAAATCATTTAAAAAGCCAAGCTCTCAAAAATAAATAAATAAATAAATAAATAAATAAATAAATAAATAAATAAATAAA